ATTCACATAGTACGCCGACAATGTCGTAGGACCAGGTTCGCCTCGCTACGATAACGCATACTTCGAGATATCCTATGTGCGCGCCTACACAACTGGCGGCATTGTACCTACGCCCACGCACCCTGGACCTGTTTTTGCCACTGGTGGCTCACCTACCTCACCGCCTAACGCAAACGCTGGCAGTAGCCTGTCAATTAGCAAAGTCGGTATGGGTGAGCATTATGCTGCGTATTGGCTCATGTCGGCTTTTTTGGTCGGGGTCGCGACTCTTCTTTTTAGCGGGTCTCACTCACATTCTTTTCTAATTGACTGGTGATTGTACTGGCACTAGAACGAGAGGATGGGCGATGATTGTCAATGTATTGTTATGGTTCTTAAAACTTATTCTAGATGCTTGGACTGTCTTCTATACGCCTGTGGATTTGTTGAATCTGAACGTGGCTTCCAGGATACAACAGACGACCTTGTAGTACATACCGTTTGGGAGTGTGGGAAGTGCGGTTTTACACGTTGAACTTGAAGCGCCCAAATCTGGATCTCTTCCTTCCTCCCTTCACGGTGTCAGCGCCGGGATCGTCTTTCATTCTCTAATGTCCTCAGGGATTCAATACATTCCGGTTTCCATCAGTGAGCGTTTCAGTGCGCTGCACGTCATGGAGCTATTCATTAGGGTGCGGTAACTCAACTTCTTCACTACACCACAAGACTGAATCTTCGAATATTCACCAGTTAGTTGAGTGACTTCCTTCAACTTCGAATGAGCTTCTTACTGCAAACATGCTTCTTGACCTTCAGGGGGTGTCCGAGCCGTTTTCCCAATCGTGACCAGCCTTACTGGATCAATTGCTTTCAATCAGTGCAACGTCGTAGAGTGAATTGTGGATGATGGGCATCATCCATTAAACAATGACACATCAAACGACATATATATTGTATACACCGTATACATCGCCATAACCTGAAATGCTGTCTAGTTGAGAGTAGAAATCTGGCCCGGGTACGTACATTGCCTCGACCTCAATGCACGCGAATTCAAAATTTAGCATCTAGTTCTCGTTGAAGTCTTGAAATTCTTCCGGACATATACTAAACATATGCTTGAGCTCTACCTCGACTAATCATCGGATTTCTAACTCGGTGAGGACTCGAGACACAGTCGGTCTTCCATTCTCAAATGATGGGCTTCCATGTTCGCTGTCGTGTCAACATTGCATCGTCATTTACCATGTGGTGCCAGTGGAATATCGACATCAGTATAAGAGCGTCCTTTGGTTCCAGGTAATCGCCATACTACCCCGTCATCATTTCATGGTCGCACTTCGCACTGAAGTAGACAGTACCCAAGCACAACCTGGAGAGCTTCTCGGAGCTTACATTGTGGTCGCAACACTGGGGGTGAGTAAATAGCCATGCCATAACATGAAGTCTCAAAGATATTCATCCTCGGAAAACCCAGATGTTTCTTTGGGATGTCCTTACCAACCTCACAAGTGAGTATGTATTGATACTCAGACGAAAGATTGGGTTTCCTGCCCTTGTGTATTTTTGGGCTCGGTGAGCACTGGTGTCTTGACCTCTCTTGTCTTACCTGATACATTATCAGGATTAACACTTTCGGAGGTCTGACGTTGGCAACACTGGTGTTTGGTATTGACTTTTCTTCGACGTCGAATTGAAAACTGATGGTTTTGTAGCTGCACCTATTGGAAAATATTGTTCCATCTTCGCGAAAATCATTCTCATCGGTTTCCCCCCGTTCATCGCCTCGGAGAGTCTACTACTTTTTTTCAGACTCAAGGCCGTATTCTTGGAAAGAAAAAAAGTTGTCTGGGGGTTCCTTATATCGCTTTTGGTCGTTGTCGGGTGCTCTTTCTTACTTCCTTGGGTTGGAGAAGCCCATCAAATTGGACCGACAAACCCATACTGCACCGCAACGATGAACGCCGCTCTAGCAGAAGCCATGCTCATTATCCCTTTGGTCAATCACCTCGCAGTATTTTTCGCCATCTCTTACCGGCTGGCACCTAGAGATGAAATAGGAGAGAAGAGGGATAGAACGCTACTGTACAACGTAACGGCTCTTTTCCGTGGAAAGCGTCTCCGTGGATTGACCAGAACGCTCTTTATTGACGGACAAAGATACATTCTGTAGGTCTTCTCGTCTCGTATGATATAGAAATTCATCTATCTCTTCGCAGAGTCTTTCTCCTTACAACCTTTGTGGCGGTAGCGGCAATGTCTATTGGGCATTTGCCTGATATCTACCGGTTCATTCTCGTTGCGCCTCATGTGGCGATTGAGAATAGCATGAACTGCTATCTCTTTAGGAGCGTACGCAGGACAGCATCGAGAAGTGTTGTTACAGACTCTACGATAAATTTCAGACAAGCAGAAAGTGATCCATCGAGTGTTACTTTCTCCACGGTGGCTCAGTCGGTGTAGCGACCACCTTTAACGCAAACCGGTTATATTCATCTATCAGCTGCAGAGTAATATTGTGGTTGCACATAGTTGCTAGTAGTACAATATGTGAAACGATGGAGATTACACGTATATACCATATCAAGCCATGGGACGAGCCAAGTACCGCGTCGAGATTCAGCATGAAAAGCTCAGCACAGCCATTCGGCCAACGGAACTGGTATTGCTACATGTTCTCTACAGTCACTGCCATCAGTGCAATCGCGACATCAATACCGGAGGAAAAGAGAATCTCATAGCAGCGTGCGCATGAAACATGATTTTAAGCCTATATACGCATGAACGGTGAACCTAATCCCAACCCGAATTGGTAGCACCGGCATCTGCACTCCAACTAGCACCTGTGGGCTCGGCGGACCAGTCAGTGGGTCCACCAGGAGCAGGGTCCGCAGACCAGTCAAGGGCACCTGGGATGTCATTGAGCAATAGTAAGGAGACAAATTGGGAGGTAACTCACCACCCTCCTGAGCCAAAGCAGGGTTGATAGCACCCGCTTGTGGTGCACTACTAACATCCCACTCCTCGGCACCGGCGGCCTGGGCGGGTGCTTCAAGCTGTGCCTTTGCAGCAGCTTCCTCCTGTTGCTGCCTCTCTACTTCTTCAGGATCACGGTAGAAGAACATGTCGACCATGACATTCCAACCATCGGGGGTACGAGGAATAGTTCCACGCAAGCGCAAAACTTCGCGAGCGAGTAACCACCAAATGAGACCGATGGAGTGTTTGGTTTTGTTGTTGGTGGGAATAGCGACATCGACGAATTTGAGAGGGGCGTCGGTGTCACAGAGAGCGATGACGGGAATGTTGACATATGCGGCCTCACGAATGGCTTGGTGGTCAACTCTGGGGTCGGTGACAACAATCAGACGAGGCTCCTTGAACGAACGGGTGATGTAGTTGGTGAATGAACCGGGGGTGAAACGACCAGCGATAGCTTGCGCACCAGTGTTGGCGGCGAACTTGAGTACTGCACGGTGACCATAGGGGCGGGCGGAGATGACACAGACGTCGTTGGGATTTTCGACGGCGGCAATGATACGGGCAGCGAAAACGAGCTTCTCCCAGGTTTTGCCAATGTTAATGATGTGGATTCCGTCGTTGCGGCGCTTCCAGACATAAGGCTCCATCTGCTTGTCGCAGTTTTTGGTACCGATGTGGCATTGTGCGGCCAACAAGAGTTGGATTTCTTCTTCAGTCGCGCTCAAGACGCTTGGGAGTTTGGAAATGCTGGCCATCTACGGAAAGGTCATCCAATCAGTCCGGGTTGAATCCACCGAAATAAGCAGAGATTCCGAAGCGATTTCGCCGTTGTCGTGAAGAGATAGACGTTACATACCTTGGGCGAGTAGTTTTGAGCCGGCAAGAGTGTTGCTACCTGTTAAAAGAGCCTTGAGCACGACGACGATCGACTGCCGCTTGCTTTGCGTGGACGCGAGAAAAGTCGGTTGACCAAACAGAGCCCAAACACGGTTGCCAAATACGGCGACTGGGAGCGAGTCTAGCTTCCGTCACTTGTTTGGATATGTATAGGACCCTAACCCTAGTCACACCTTTCCAAATCCACAGAACGCTTCGACCAGCGTCGTTCAAGACAGAGCCCATCGACCTCTTCAAGAAACTCCAAAACTACCGACGTATGTCTGTTCAGCTGACCCCTACGCTCCCTGGGACCCCGAAACTCATCGAAATCATGGCTCGTAACTAATGGATTCACTTGTCGCGTTTAGATGAAGGTCGAAATCGACTCATTCTCGGGATACCGTATCTATCCCTCTAAGGGAAAGCTTTTTGTACGAGGTGATTCAAAGGTACGTTTACACAACTCTTTTCGATTGGGCTTTGTATTGAATACTCTTTCGTAGGTGTTCCGCTTCACCTCATCCAAAACTTCATCTCTTTTCCTACAACGCAAGAACCCCCGTAAAATCGCCTGGACCCAGGTCTACCGTCGCATGCACAAGAAGGGTATCACGGAAGAAGTCGCCAAGAAGCGTTCCCGCCGCACCGTCAAGCACCAGCGTGGAATCGTTGGTGCTGATTTGGCTTTCATTAAGGAGAAGAGGAATCAGACTGCTGCTGTGAGAAGTCAACAGAGGTTGGCTGCCATCACAAAGGCCAAGACGGAAAAGAAGGAGAAGGAGAGTAAGAAGGTCAAGTCTGCGTCCAAGCCCAACCCTACGACGGCGCCGAAGGTTAGCAAGCAGCAGATGAAGGGAGGAAAGGGTGGTCGATGAGCAGTGTTCGTGCATGCAATCCATCCCCGCGCTTTATGTACATGTCCCATACCTGCATCAACCATGTTTTATGCCTGAACCGCTGACTGGCTTCTGCCCGCCCGCCCGATCAAAGAATTAATTACGGTCTCCAGTGGGCTGCTTTCTTGGCTGCACGGCGCGGCTATCACCTCGAATGCACCCCATTTTTTCTTGATTCTAGTGGCTGTCACATGTTTAGATAGATGGAGACGGGATCGGAAAATGTAACGCGGGATATACTTTGACAGACAAAAAGACATTAATTGACAAGAGTGGGATTCGAACCCACGCCCGAAGACTAGAGTATAGCAAATTGCTAATTGCCTAAATCTAGCGCCTTAGACCACTCGGCCATCTTGCCTTGACAAACTGAGTGATCTTTCTCAAGCCATAGCTCTTACAGCTAACCAAAAACCTCTAAGGTAACTCCATCTCCTGCAAATGTCATGTGCCATCAGCTAGTGTTAGCAGGTGATCCATATATGGTGAAAACAAACAAGTAGCTCTTTCTGGCTGCTCCCATCCTGTTAACACTGAGGCCCTCATGGGATGACTATCAACCCACTGGCAGACAGAACAAGATCACCATCTGATGATGGTATGACAAAAAAATGGGATGATATGCCATCCCACTGTCAGAGTTTTAGATTGAACTCTGTTAGCAGTGATAGTGCAGATAGCGCGATAAACAATAGTTGATGACCAGAGGGGTTGTTATAGAAGTGAGAGAACCAACTGATGTTCTTATAATGTATGTAGGGTTTTCTGTCTAGCTTTTATACATGAGTAGGGGATAAAAGATAATGCTAAATTTATGATAATAGATACTAAGGGAACTAGAAATTGTCAGAGTTTTAGATTGAACTCTGTTAGCGGCAATAGTATGATACATGATAGCAGATGACCAGAGGGGTTGAGATAGAAGTGTAAACCAAGTCTATGTGATTCAATGTAGTATTAGGGTTTTCTGTCTAGCTTTTATACATGAGTGAGGATGAAAGATAGACCTAATAGTACAAGTATAGACGTGATAGAAATAACTGTGGCTTTGTGTGGCTTTCTGTAAGTAAGTGGGTTATACGAAACAATATGAGTGGGTCAAGAGATATTCTAAGATGTGGCATATGTAGATGTATGAATAGAACATTCTAGAATTCCAACACTCCCCCTCAAATCTTGGATTATGGAATGATCTGAGGTTTGACTCTAATCCAGATTGTCAAAGTAATCTCCTTGAAGGTTGCAATGTTTGATCTGTTGGAGTCTGGACTCATCACAATACTTTTTCATGTTCCTGTAGTTGTGAGTGTTGTCGTCATTGGTGTGATTAGATACCTGCAGTTTCTTTACTGTCCTGGTGCCTGATGATTGTCCCGTGATGAAGTCCTTCTTTCCAGTTCAAATTATGAGTTTGAAAGAATTGAGACTTGTTCTTTATGGGGAGAAAAAATGTAACATCTATTGTACCAGTTTTTCCCACAGGATCTGCGCCTCAGGCTTGTCAGCTTCCTTTCCTTGTACTTGAATTGATGAGTGTATTGTATCCCGCTGTCTATGAACTGTAATGTTATATTTACGGGTGTAATACATATATACAGTAGATACATGTTGAATCAATAATAAATATATTTCATAACCTCTAACTTTGATTAACAATGTGGATAAGAGTTCTGCTCCGACTCTGAGGTGTCTGGTATGGCAAACAGAAGATGGCACTTGTGGACAACGCACATAGGGAAGCTTCGAAGCACCAGTGAAAGGTATTGTCGTCCGTCAACCTATCGGAGACATCATGTAGGACTGACACCTGTGATGCCAGGCAACCTGCAGCGCTGATATGGTCCAAAATATAAATCGCGTATCTAGACGAATATTCTTGCCTTCAACAAGTTTTAATATGCTTGATAAGGGAAACAAGAGCACTAGTGTGAGCCCAAGCAGCTAGTGAAAGTGGACTTAGGCTCTAACAAAGAGTAATTAGCTGTCTATACGCTTGTTCATGGATTGTATGATCAGGCTATGGTAGCTGGAGACTTAGCCATGCATGCTAGACGTGTCTGAAAACTGTAGGACTGTCTATACTAGAAGGACGGTTGTCATGTCATCTATAGAAACACTATGGAATTGGCTATAGACTTCTTATGAGGCTATACAACTGATCTGGAAGAGTTGTTGTGACTAGAAACCTTGAATAATGTCTGCAACTAAGGGGATTTGAATTTGGCACAGAATAGATGCATAGGCATAGAGATGCATTGTTGACTGACCAGTCTAGACGCTGGCAGGATATGATGGAAAGAGGATCTTCCGCTCTAGGAGGAAGCGTGCATGTTGCAGCTTGGATTAATCCGAAGCTCTTAGCATAGCTTAGTAAAATCAATGAGATCTGAAGCTAGACAGCTGAAGATCAAATTGATAAGCAAGCAAGGTTTTAGGGTTTTACACTAGCCGCTTACTACAAGCGAGTTACTTGCCCAGGACATTTCAGGCTCATCGCCAAAAGGTGTAGATCTGAAACCAACCAGAGAATTATATCTCCGAGGAGAGACCGTACCTTTCCCCTGGCTAGACAAAGTGCTAGCTAGGAATGGTGATAGAATTACACATTCTTGAACCTAGAAGAATATAGAAGAATAGACTCTAAGGGAGGGACTCGAAGGGAAGATGTCTAGGCAGTTCCTGACGATATCCGATACCAAGGAGAGCCGTCTCCGCTCAACAGCTATGTACCATGCGGTCTAGCAAGAGTGAGTCAGCACAAGGAAGAAGGATAGTCCACCGAGCAATTTCCAACATGGAGCTAGCCAAATATTTGGAACTGCTTTCAGGACCAAAATGTGAATAAATCCAGAATATGGACAAAAGATCATCTAAAAAGAATATTTCATTTCCTTCTTAAGTAGTTCTATACCTTGTATGGGCAGTGAGCCATCGGAATCATAGCTAGAAGTATGTATTTGTGGATTATGGGTAAATAGGACAGCTAGAGGGTATATAAGCTGGCCCATTTCAATATGAAAAGGCAAGCAAGTAGATCCCCCCACTGTCAGATAGCACAGAGCAATCAACAACTTTGGAACTTGACTTCAGAGAATATTTAAGAATATACCCCACCTGACACAGAGTCAGTGATTTGCTACTTGTATAGCTGTGATAAGCATACAGCAGTCTCTTGAATAGAACATACTGAGTTGCGTCTAGATGGGATTTGACTTGACCACTGAGGTTTGGAGTACTAGGGACTCCCACCTAAGTTGAGGTACTGAGGACAGAGGGCCTCCTACCTAAGTTGAGATATAGAGGAGAGAGGGCCTCCTTATCTATTGTAACTGAAGTATTGTGGACAGAGGGCCACCTTACTTATTGTTTTGGCACTGAGGACTGAGGGCCTCCCATTGCCACATATTGGTCATTGTTGAACTTGTTTGGAATCGATCCAGTTTGGATATTGAAGAGGCTAGCTGCACTTGGGCACTATCCTGTTGCATTTTGTTGATTTCTTTGTTTGTTGGATACAAATATACACCTTATACCATTCTCTATAGCACACACTTTGTTGTTCATTGGTCTAGATTGAGTACTAGAGTGTCTATAGTAATAATACATTGTTTCTTGATCTTACTACCATGCAGAACCTTTGCCAACGCTGAGCCATCCTTGCATATAGGAGGTTGAGTTGTGTTTTGCTGTCTCTAGATGGCCTTACATATATTAAACCCATTCAGCATACTTTGCACCATCCTGGTGCCAAGATACCTGAGATTTGAGCAGACAACTCTGAACCAATGACCCTTTGGGCATCATGTATCTAAGGTTTCATTGTATCTAGTTGCTAGAACTGTAGGAATGAAAAGAACAGTAATGGTGTGGCCATCAATGTTGAGAATAAGCGCAGGATTGTTATAGTACAATGGCAAACCAGGTTTCCTAGGGGGTTTTCAGCTTCTTCTTCATTGGCATTTGTGTGGGGCCAAGCCTGATCTACTAGTAGGCTTTGAAGTGGGGAATATCTGGGTTTTTAGGGGTGCCAACAATTGCTTCAGTAATGCTAGATCAATCAGACAGTATAGGTGCAATGTCTAAAGGGCCAGTGACAAGAACCATGTGTACTCCTCAGGTATTTCCTTACTTTCATCATAGAAATGCACACCCATGAATGGCAGAGGCAGCCTTGGCAACATCATGTGCACAAGGACGTACCCACAGCTGCGAGAGATGGTTTGGTATGAGGGGAATGTGGTGTCTTCAGGATACTTCTTGCAATAATAGTCAAGGAAAGCTATAACATAATCTTCTTTGTACCACTAGCAAGACATTAGATAGACATTCTTGGAGAAACAGGACACACCTTGCACTTGACAATCCACACCTCTTTTGACTGGTATTTTGTCCATTGTATCCGACAATCCACCAGCAGCCCTAGCCCTGTCATTCAAAGCTATATTTGAAGAATAAGCAAAACCTACAAATAAGGAGAAGTATTATTATTAAGTGAAAACCTGCCATCTCCATGTCTTCATTGTCTCCTGAGAACAGGGAATCATGCTCTGAGTGAATGTCTGCATCTTCTACCAAAAAGAGTGAGTCTTGGTTATGGTCTGTGTTATCTTTGTGGTTATCTAGGGCAACATCAACAGCATGATAGTTAAGTTCCTGCCCCTGGTTGCCTTTCCTGTTGTCAATGAACCCTTCATCTACCAATTGAGAGATGTTAGATGATGGATAGATTGGGAGAGTATATGATATACATACCTTCTTTATCTTCCTCACTGTTGTATCCTCCCCGATCCACTGCAGCCTTGAAATCCAGCAATTGGCAAACATCCAGCATTGACAAGGAAGCCATAGTGATGGTGATGAGCCCATAGTGTCCTGGAACAGTGTGTCAGCATTGACCTTAGGACTTTTTTTTTCTATCTGAGACATTATATTATTAGGTATGATTTTTGACTCTTTTTGATCTCATTATTTGTTGTAATATACATATATTATCTATTCTATGTGAAAAGAAGTAAACTTACACCATTGAACAACATGCAAGGGCCTTCGTCATCATTGATGATGGTGGTTACAAGCAAGAAGTGAAAACTTGTTGCTAGAGTGCACGTAGCAGGCTTGTGCTTGTAAATCTTGTGTTTGTACAAGCATGTGCTTCAACAAACATAAGATTTGCAAGCACAAGCCTACTGTGTACTGAAGACTTAGAGCTTTTCACTTCTTACTTGCAACCACCATCATCAACAATGGTAAGTCCTTTTCCTCACCTTATTACTATACCAGTAGTGTCAATGATATGCCTGACTTTAATCACTTCATTTTTGAACGCAAATATGCTAGTTTTGCACTTTATCATTGTTGCAT